CATAAGTGGTCTTATGAAAATTGTAGAGCTTTTCACGCTGCACCTTATGGCATATTTGGTTGTTAATACAATATATTAGTGGACTACAAAACTAACCCGTCTGATTCACTGTGAGCTAATACAACGAGCAAATATGTTAACGAAAAAAATCTTATCAAAAATTTATTATCATGACATTAGTTAAAGTATGATCAAATAGCATAGAAAAATAGACCTTTCTTTTCTCTATTAGACTGTATAGAAAAAAGGTTTCGTCGAGCTTTCTATAAGGAATTGATATACCTCCGCCACTACTTTTGGAATGACCTAAGTATTTCCGATCATATTTCAATTTTCTAAATGATACCTAACCTCCAGGTCTTGTCGTTGTGGTCGTATTAGTAGACGATTCTTTGTTACAGTTCATCAGGGCTAGTGTCAACGGTATTGAAAGTGCAGCTGTTAGAATGGCACCTAAACAACAGCCACTAAGAATCCATAAAATGGCTGCAGATCCTTGTGATCTAAATCTTCTAAAATATATACAAAAATATATCAGATATACTCATTTGAACATTTGTAATATCAAACCAACCTTTCTCGCGATATTTTACTCGATATAGATTGAATATCTGTCAAATTTGCTTCGATCAATCTTGGTGACTTTACTCCATTAATTCGATACATTTCTTGCTTCGATAAACTATACAAATGAATTATATAAATTTAAGAAAAATGAATCGAAGAAATAGAGGCAAGTATAAAGACATTTGCAATTGCCGATATTTATAAGGTATCAAATAATTGCTAGATCGAGTCGTTACTTTTAACAAAATGTTTAACAAATTTTGTTAATGTTGTTCGATAAATGAAAAAACTTTAATTGCTTGCCTCTTCATATACTTAGATGAGTACACAATATTAAGTATATTGTAATTGTGTGCAGAAGTATTATGAATGGTCTCTTAAAATAAATAGTACGGCTATTAAAATATAATTTTGTTGAGTCACTGATTTATAGTGCGCCGTAAAATAATAATCGAAAACATAGTTACTTATTCCAAAACAAGAGAATGAAGTTGTAACTGTTTTGTAAATCTAAGGCAATATGATGATAAGTATGATAAAATTCGCTTCTTATTCAACTTTGAAAATACAATCGTGTGAGACTTTAATCAAGATATGTAGGTGTGATGTATAGGTAAAGAGAAGCCTATCGCTAGAACTCACATACATTACACCAACATCTATATTCTCGATACCTCATTTCATTTTATTGGAAAAGTATCTATTAATTTGATTAATGAATATTATAAAACATCTGATGCTTATTCTGATCTATCCGTTCTATAAAATATTAAATTTCGATTAGTAATTCGTATTCTCGAAAGTTTCTATATTCATAAGAAACAATCATGAGAGAGTTTAAAACAAATAGAAATAACATAGACAAACAGTTATCCACAATTTGTTCATCAAAATCTTATAAAAGTAACATGTATACAAAGAATCACTATACGTAAATCATATATTCTATTTAAACTATATGATTTTCATAAATTAAAAATAAATATTCATATTCATCTTTCATCTTTCTTTTGATTCAACAATAAGAATACTTGAATATAAAACAATTCGAACACAAAAAAAAAACAACAATAGCATTGATCAATACTGATCTTATTTTATCAAACAAACAAGTAATAAAAGCTATCGGTATTCATATACTAGAGAATGTAAGTGTTGTTGGTAGAAAGAAGACATATTCATACTCTTACAAGCTCAAAAAAACAAAGAATGACTTATGCCGGTATACCAGTAGTCTAATCTGATCTGACCGTTTCTAACAAAACATATACCGATAAGGAAGAACTCCTATCATTTCCTACTCTGAATAAAATTTTTCAGTTGAGATTTTGCGATTTTTTCTCTGTGACAAAACCTCAGTAACCGAGATCCAAGACTAAATACCATTGATTTTGAATTTTCTTCAAATAGTTGAGAACAAAAAGCAACCGAATCTGTTTTCAAAGCCCCTTAGCAATCGGAAACGATTCTGAATGACACTAAAAGTTAGATTTAGAATATTTCAGAACATTCCAAAGCCTATTTTGAAACTCAAATGATTGAAATACATTTCAAAATGTTCTAAATTGGTCAGTTTCTGGGTATTGTCTAGATAAATGATTATATGGCAGAAATCAAGCATGATGGCTCATGATTGACTGTATTATCATAAACAGGGTGTAGATGTCGGTATCAGACTGAATCTTCTATTCATTCACATCCACATTCACACTCAACCATTTCGATGACAAAAATTCAGTAGAGTCAAACAAAAAAAAACTTATCTTTGTTATTCTGTCTGTTGCGCATGTAGTTCTTAATGGCGCGGATATTGTAGGTCCAAAATTGATAACTCTCGTTTAATTGATCAATACAGTCTTAAATGGATGCAAAAACATTTTCAACTATTATTATTAGCATATTTGAAGCATATATGCATAAAAGAATAACCAAAAATTCACTAAAATATGAGCATTTTTTTAGTGTGTTTTTTTTTCATTATTTAAATATAAAAATGTTCAATAAATTTTTATCCATTATAGATAGATTTATAATAGTATATTTAACTAATACAATACATAAAAACAAGAAAACTTCTAGTTTTAGTTAGTTTATTACTTGATGATCTAAAAATTGAATAAAACAAATAATTACATTTGATATTATTGATATTTTATTTTACTGATTATTTATTATATTAAGACAAATTTTTTATTCTTATTCAAATAATATTTATTCATAAATAAATTATTCTTGTATAATTCCTTTGTGTTTTCGAAAACTACGACAATGATTAGTGATAAATATTCCGTTCGATTCATTGCTTTCAGTTTCTTCTGTGTAAACATTAAATTAATTATTTTAAGCTTACAATATAGATACTACAATAATGATATAAATTATATCTTATCAACACCAAGAATGATAAATATAGAAAAAAAAAAACGAAAGTTTCTGTTTTTTAACTCTCGAATTTATATATATTTCAACAATAAAAATGGTTGACTTTTAGTTAATAACATCTCGCATATGTTTATTCTTGTTTGTCATTGTAAAAGAAAGAAAAATCTTTATGAATATCTTCGCATTATTTTTCTTTCGTTATGCATCGATAATACCTACATTGTTTTTCTTATGAGGAAATGGCTTCAAATGATCAATCAATTTCTCATCAAAAATGATTGAATAGTTGGTTATTGACCATACTGATTCTGAGTATGAGTATGAGGAATTCTGTTAAACTTTCATATACTAGTTTTTTTTAGAAAATCAATTTTCCAAATTAATAAATCGCTTTTTGATCTGCTTAAATTATAGAATATATCAAGTTGTCTATCAGAAAATAATCTTTTCAGTAATTTTCTAAAAATTAGTTTTAGATAAAATAATAATATTATGTTGATATCTATTGTAAAAATTAATAGAGTCTATTTATTATTATATAATTTTGAATCAAGAAATATTTCTTCTAATAAATTTGTCATTGATATTGAAAATAAATTCTTTTTTTGTTTTCAGTTTTAAGAATAAGTTTTGTTGATTCTATTTATGCACTAGTCTTATTCATTTATCTTTCTAGATGTTTTTCATTGGCAGATGTTATGTTGATATAGAAAGAAAAAAGATAGTTTCTCCGCAGGATACATATAATCGCAATAACCGACAAATCAATCAGTCCGTCAGTCACCTTTTTCTCTTCTATCTATACTATCTTTATATCAAGCCAAAAAAAAAAATCAACATATGCGCCTACGATGTAGTGATCTTTTCCATCATGAGAAAAGATCACAAGATTTTCTCTTTGTTCTTATTCCATCTCTTCTACATCGAATAGTCACTATATACTAGGAAAATAACACTCGACATCAACATATAGGAAGAATAATTGTATTTAATGGCTGATGTAAGTTTTTGCTGACTTTTTTTTATTATTTTGGTAAATTTCTTTTGTTTTTTTTTTTTTAGAAAAAAGCTAAAAAAGCAGCTCAACGAGCTACAAGTAATGTCTTTACTATGTTTGATCAAAAACAAGTACAAGAATTTAAAGAAGCTTTTGGTTTAATGGATCAAGATCGAGATGGAACAATATCATTAGATGATCTTAAAGAAGTTTATGCATCATTGGGTAAATCACCAAAAGATACAGAACTTAAACAGATGCTTGAAGAAACTGGTGGACCTGTTAATTTTACGAAATTATTACAAATGTTTGGTGATCGACTTCATGGTTTGAAATATTTTTTATAAAAACAAAACAAAATATATGATTTTGATCAATGGGGTTTTTTTTTTCTTTTATATTTTTAGGTACAGATGCAGAAGATATTTTAATGCATGGTTTTAAGGCATTTGATGAGGAAGGAAAAGGTTTTCTTAATCGTGACAGGTAGATTCATTTTTTTTTGTTGAATGAGAAATTTATCTTTTTTTCTTAGTTTTCGAGAATTATTAACTGCTGAAGGTCGTCCTAATGAAAGACTAACTGATGTCGAGGTAATGTATATGAATATAAATTGAAGTTGCTCTTTTTTTTTTTATTTTACATGTGTTATAGTTCACTCAAATGCTTGAAGGTGCACCAATTGATAACAAAGGTCAACTTGATTATGCCGCATTTACAAAACTAATCAAACGTGGAAAAGACGATGAATAAATAAATCTAATTCAATTTTTTACTCATTTATTTTTCCCTGATTTTTTTTTTATCCTTTAGAATATTATTTTGTTTTTACTATCCATTGTATTGTATAGTGATTATAGAATTTTTATTTTAAATAAGTACAGTTAGTAAACAAATGAAATAAATTTATATTGAAATTGATATATATATATATATGTGTATATGCAGAATATTATGAATTATAATTGAATCAATTCATAATTAAGTTATTCAAAACCTAAAAATTGATAAGAACACATAGAATGATTAAATCTGATTTTAATTGGATATATCAATGAATCTCAATGAGAAAAGAGACAATGGTCATAAAGAAAAAAAACCTGTTAGCACAGTCCATGCTGGATTAAAATGTAAAACACGTGTAGCTATCGTTTTATTCTATCTATTTTAGAACATATTTCTTCACTATCCAAGCAGACAAAAATTTTGAAAAACGCGTTTAAACGCATAATCGGGAACCGCGACTGTGATCCATTCACGCTCATTAAAAAAACACACGAAACAACGTTTTTTGTGTTAAAACGTTCTTTTTCTCTGAAGTTTAGAAATAACGCGTTTAGCCGCTCCGTTCTTCAATTTTTCAACTTTTTCACGTTCCAAAAGTGACTATTTTGCACAAAAAACGTCGTTTCATGCGTTTTTTTAATGAGCGTGAATGGATCACAGTCGTGGTTCCCGATTGTGCGTTCAAACGCGTTTTTCAAAATTTTTGTCTGCTTGGGTATTTTCTTACTTAATACTTCAGAAACGTAATAAATAAGCCGCGTCTAACGTGTCTGTCATGGTCTGTGACATTTCCATGGTAATATCTATCATAGTGTGCAGGAGAAGGGAAATACAACTTCCTACTATTTCTATACTTCTATACACTTCTTTTAGACCGTGTGTCACAAAAAAAAACAATTTTCGCGGGTCATCTAATATCTGAAATCAGTGGATGAAGGCACATTATTGAAAATTTATCCTCCCAGAACTATTTATTGAATGTACATTTATATATATATATTGAAGCAAGTGCGTAAATACATTGTTAAAAGAGAAATGTGTTTGCAATTTTATCTTTTTTCATATTTTTGATCGATGAATTTGTGATTTCGAATCAAACCCATGCGTAAAAAGATAAATATTTTTGGAAAATGAATGATAATCTTTCAAGTCGAGTTTTTTCTTCTTTATTGAACAATGTTATATTGATATTTTTTCAAAGACTTTTATATCTTTTATTAGTCTCTATAGAACTATGTGTTTCGCATTATATGCAATATATATTCAAGAATATAAATTTTAAAATAACAAAATTTCGATAAAAATTTGTTCTTTCTTTTAGTGTATTTTGTAATAAATTTTACTTCTACTTTAAATAGCTTTTTGTCCATTGGAACTCGTCCAAACTTTATTTTTGGATCTTTCAACGATTTGCTCATAATTTCTAACCTATGGAGGGTGTGAGCAAATATATCTCATCAACATTTTAAAAATCTCTTTTGTTTTCTTAAAAATAACCTGATTCTCCCATAAGGGGTTAATCCTTTGAAAATGTTTCAAATTTATCTTCTTTATTTGTAAACGAAAATAATGTATTTGATCGATCTATGACAGAACACTAAACATTTTTTCATATTTTAACTTCTTATCATTACGATAGTTTTTTCTATAAAAAAAAAAACACGAAAATATGTTGAGGTCTTTTTCGATATCAAATATTATTTTGCTATTTTCATTTAATCATAACTGAATAAATTGTTGTATTTAATATTTTGGACGATGATGCTATTGGTGATGGTATTACTGATAATACTCAATCTATTCGATATACATTTTTTCGAGCAACTAATATTGTTCTTATACCAGCTGATGATTTTCTAACAGATTCATTAGAAATTTCATTTAGCTCGTAATGCTATTTTATGTGCATCTGATAATGCAAGTTTATATCCATGTATTTCAAGTAAGACAAGTGATACAGCTTCATGTGATTATCCATTTTTACTTATTAATCATGTACATAATATTTATCTTGAAGGTGAAGGTCATATTGATGCTGGTGCACAAAGTATGGGTTGGGTGTGAAGAGAATATCCACTCCTATAGCCACCTACACCCACACCCTAGGTTCATCATTTATGTATAATATAACTATTGAAAATATGGATTTACATAGTAATTCAGCTGCTATTAATGTAAATGATTTTGAAGCAAATTCTACTGGTGATATGTATAATATGATATTTCGTAATATATGTGTAATAGATACAAATCATAGTTTATGTGTAGCACCACGTTGGGGAACAGGTATAGTATCAAATCTTTTATTTGAATAAATGTATATAGAAATACGATGTTTTTTGGTGTGGATTGGTGGAGTACAACTAAATCAATATATGTAATAGGTCTTTCGATGAGTGTCGAAGGACAATGGACAGGAATATTAAAAAATATTACTTTTCGAAATATATAATTGCTAAAAGTAAGATGAAGTAATGTAACTGAACATCCATCACAAATGAGTTGAACAAAAGTTGATGGAATTTTTGCTCTAGATATTAATGAATTTAAAGAACCTACACAATATTATCATGGATAATGTTTTAATTTGAATAATATTACACAAATGGTAAAAGTTAATTTTCAATGTCAAGATTTTATTTTATTACCATCAAGTCAAAAAAAAAACAACTATTGAAAAAATTTTGTTGAATTGAAATGATATAAATGTTCAGAGCAAAAGTATATAAAAGAATTTGATCGGAAATATTTTTCATAAGTGACAAAGACCTTAGAACAAAAAAGTACTGAGAAATTCCTTCGCAACTTCGGCAAAAATGTTTTTTTTTTAATTGACTTTCGATGTTTTTTCAGCTGTTCATGTGATATTGACCCTTTATCCCCATAATGGTTCCAGAAGAGTCACTATATGAAATTCCAGTGACTATTCAAACAATTAAAAATACATGAGTGTTCTGTACTAGTGTTCATTTCAAACAGGAATGTACGTAAGACGTTTTTCGAATAATTCTAGAACTAAAAATGATAGAGATCTGCAATGTTTATCATTCACAAGAGAACATACAGACCATATTCTGAAAAGATTTTTCATTCGACTTTTATTTACAATTTGACTATTCGATTGAGAAAATTGTCGCTTTTTCAATCTAAGCCGCAAGGACAAGCTTATTTATGTTCTTCGTTCATGAGTTACAGTATTTTGATTTCATTGTTGATGTTTGCTTTTAATTTTGGAGCGATCTGCAGCCATTATATGAAGATCTTTCAAATATGGATCATACACTATCAAGAGACAAAATTCGAAAGTCTTATGATAGTGGTTGAAGTTTGCTTCAAAAATAAAAACAAATATTAACAGTGAAGTCAACATACTGAATTACCTCTGTCTTGACCTTTTCTCATATCGATCTAAGGTCATTTGGACGAAATCGAGAATTCCTGAGAAATTCTTATAACTCATTCTTTACCAAATAGTTAAATTGTAAATAGAAGTCTAACGAAAAATGTTTTCAGAATATGACCTGTATATTCTCTTGCGGATTGTGAAAATTGCAGGTCTTTATCATTTTTGGTTCTAGAGTTATTCGAAATAAAAAAACAATAACGTAGAATATTTGTCTTATCCATTATCTTCTCTGTTTCAGTTCAATAAGAATAATTATATTTAGTTTCATTCATTATGATCGATTTTGTGTCGAATATATTTTATTGATTTGTCAATCGAAAAATAAAAATCAACCGATAATTATTTTTTTTTTCAAAAATAATAACGATCGTACTATGTAGTCATTATTGGTAAATTTCTAATATCCGTATGGAATATTGTAATAACCAGTTTTATAATAAGGATAAGGTAAAGCTCTATAACGATTGGCTGCATTACCATAATACAAATACCCATATTGTGGTTTATAGTATTTGTAATCATATGTTATATATGCATTTGCTATTGCACGACGTTCCCTATGTTTTCTATACGCATAGACACCTAAACCAACAACAGCTGCACCGAGTAAAAGTTCCATGTAATGTCAATAATTACGTTGTTTAATAACTTATGTATATGCAAAAAAGAGAAACGAAGAAAGACAAATAATAGTATGATATTGTAGGTGTGAAAAAAAAATTGTCGTCAATCAAAAAGTAATGATAATATCCGTGTCATATTTTCTTCATCAACATGTCTCAATATTAACTAATTATTTTACAAAAAACAAAAATTGCGAAATATGATTAATAGTGTTTCTTTTTTTTTATATCAAAACAAATTAATTATTGATGATTATAAAAGACACATTTTAGTGTCTAATTTTATTTTGTATACAAAACAAATAAATAAGATCTAGCAAGTTTTCTATACGAACAATGAAGAATGTATCACTATGACTTTCTTTCTTTCTTCAATTTCTTCATCAGTTCTAGTTCAAACACTTTGCGATGTTACTATAGTGAGTAAAATGCCCATATCTCGATCAGTGAACGCCAAAAAATCAAATCAAAACAGACTTTTTTTTCACCAATCATCATGACTAATCGAATGGTAATAGTCTCGAGTAAAAAGCAATTGGAAACATTCCCTCGTGAAAGAAATAGAATGCACATGTATGTCAAAGAAGTATTAAAAAAACAACAACTCGCAACATATCTTTTCTCTGATTATGATCTAAACTTCTTTTTATTCAAAACTAAAAATCGAATATAATGAAAATAAAATTTTATATATTGTATTCAGATATTAAATCTAAACTTATATATATATATATACAAAAAAATAAAGGCTACAAATTGTTTGCTAAGTAAAAATTATAATTACTAAGTAATTTCGAAGAAAAGCAAAGTACAGTTATCTGAGATAAGAGGAATTTTTTATGATGGTATGGCACATACATTTTCTCTCTTTGCTTTCCTTCTATCAACATTAAACTAGTTTCGTGATATATGTATATTCCACCTATATCTTTTTTCGTTCTGAGGTTATGTGTGAATAGGTGCATATTTTCTTCGAGGTACAATTATTTCTGTTTTTCTCTTGTTCTTTCTTTTACATATGATCTGCATTGTTTTCTCGATAATTCTTTTCTGTTTGGCACTTTCTAGTGAGTTCTTACGCCCTCTCATTTATATATATATGTGCGTCACTAAAAATTTATTTTGAATTAATAAACCATATAAGAGTTCATCGGAATCGAATGATGAAATAAAAATCGATCAACAAGATATCCAAGCAAAGAAAAAGATAGCTCAATGTAATCTTCATTGGATTAAAGACAAAATCTTTTCTGATGATAACGAAACTCAAATAGCAATTAAACAAGAAAGACACAATTGCATCAAAAGAAATTTTGTCTTTCAACGTTAAGCTTGGGATAGTTAGAATCTTTATGTGCTGAAAAATCTACAGTACCACAATCTGACGAATGAACCATTTATTCTTTCATATTATGTTTATTATGCAGATGGTATTGATGATAACAAGACGTAGTGTAGATGATGGCAATAACTTTTGATTTTTTATATCAACGAAAAGGTTATTGCAAATTACTTCTACTTCAACACGGTTACATGCTGGTGCTACTTATAAATTGAACTTGCAGGGTTTCCTGTATTAATAGTAGGAGCAAGTGATTCTAATCGAAAGTTGCATCCACTTGGATTGGTAGTGTATAGTGATGAACAATAACATCAAGATTTCGAGTTTATCTTCTAAAGCATTTCCCATGGTGTTGAGAAAATAATTCATTCTAGATTCATGTCTAAAGTTCTGATAGCTGATGGTTCTGGTGCTATACGGAATGCATTTTAAGAAAATGTTTAACAATAATAAAATGGTGATGTGCTGAGCATATATGTGTCGATATGTGAATAAAAAATTAAGCAATATTGAAAGTAATGATGCAAGACAGGAGATATTAGATGATATTGACAAGTTACAATTGGGCGAATTGGAAACAATCATTAATAATGTATCGTCGTTTTTTATGAAGAAATGGAGTCAACAGAACTAACAATTACATTACAAAAGTAGACTAATGCATATATCATTTTTGCAAAATCATCAAAATCAATATTACAAATATCATCGAAAAGAAAAGGTTTTACTTACCAACTGGCGAAGCACAAAATGTTACAACAAATAAAATACAGATATACAAAAAGATGTCATTTGATCAATTTAAAGATTTTCAATTTAGCATATGAAGAGTAACTTTATCAGACAATGCAACGGAATGGAAAAGCAGACTTTGCAATTGTCCAAGCTTCTTCAAAGAATACATTTGTAAACATATTATTGGTATGGCTATTAGATTGAAGTTGTGTAAACCACCTTCATCAGCAAAGGATATACACCTTTGAAAGAAAAACGAAAACGAGGACGATCACGAAAAGCAACAAAAGCTCTATTAATACAATTAACTTTTTTTTTTGCTTAGATATTCATGTCAATTTACTTAACAAAAATTATATATTTACCTAGAGATTTACAATATTTTACTTAGAATTTAAATAAAACTTGCAAAAATATTTTTTTCAAAAAATTACTGAGCAAAAATTTAATTTTTCACTTAACTTTTATTTAAAATTATTTAGCAATTAAATAATAGCCAAAAATAAATATAGATCATAGTGTCTTCGAGTTATGCATGAATGAAATAAAAATATTAATATTCACTTTCTATATTAATAAAAACAAAAAAAAAAATATTCTCGATTGTAATCACAAATGATAAGTAGTCTGTATATATATATATATATGCAAAGTAAATGTTCATAAGTCAGTTGATGTTTTTATATAAAATAATTACCACTTCGTCCACTACCATTATAACAATATTTAAAAAATATTATTTCACCAACGATTATTACTGTAATAAATGTTATACCTAAACCCATACCCAATTGTGCTGAACGAGTTGGTGGTGATTCACCTAAATACAAAATATTTTATTTATTTTTTTCTATAAAAAAAAAAGAAAGATTTACATCATACCTTTGATTATTCCTCTCGAACTAATAGTTGTTGTTGTTGTTGTTGTTGTTGTTGGATTTATTGAATTATTTGTAGTTATTATTGTTGTCATAATAACTGTACTAGTATCACTATAATGCATTGAAGAAGCAGTTTCCATTGATGTATATTCTAATAAAGTAGTACTTGTTTCAGAATCGATAACTTGTAAATACCAAAAATCTGAATCATTTCGAGCAGTTGAATTCAATGTAGAGTTAAAAAATAAGACACCTTGATCGAATGTTATATAAAATTTAACACTGGTATTAAGTTTAATAGAATCAGGCAAATAAAATGTAAAGGTTTTATCAGAATATGTTACATTAGTTGTATTTAAATGCACATCAATTTGATCAATTGACGTATTTGATCTTGCATCGTAAAAATGAATGAATGCTTCGAATGTAGGTCGAGTGACATTTTGATCAACTAGATAAATAAAAGTAAAGATAAAGATTTCGATCATCAAAAATAGTTATAAAATGGTATATTAATACATTTCGCCATAATCTCTCATTCTACTTTATGAACCCTCGTTTCTTTCCCCTATTTACACCTTTCTATAGGATTACAAAAATTGTCAATGTAATAGAATTGATTCGACATTATTTTATATCATTTTCTCAGACCTTGAATTTGTTTAATTTTTACTTTCAATAATAAATTGATTTGCAGTTGAGTAAATATATGTTTGTGGAATTTTACGAATAATAGTAAAATTACCATGTATAGAAATAATGAGAAAACAGAAAACAACAATGACAAACATATTCATCTTAAAAAAAAAAAGAAAAACACTATGTTTTTATGTTTTGTAGTGAGCAAAATTATGCGAGAGAATAAAAAGAAGAAAAAATCGACGTATACGATGTTAGTTTTTTTTTTTTTTTTGGTTTCATCTTAGAAGATTACACAAGCATTTTACATCTCTCAATATGAGTAACGAGAAAAGTAAAAAAAAAATATAAGGCATCGTTTATATGACATGTAGCAAAGAAGAAAAAAAAAAGGAGAAATGAATGAGTCTATGGTTTTGAAGACGGTTGTTATCTGAACTAGACAGAAAAAAAATAGTAAAAGTAATTTTTATACGTATCAAACACATGAACTCATATATACAATAAAAACTTATTTTTCTAAAAGTGAAATTTTTTTTACAATAAAAAAAATATTTTTGCATTGTCATAAATCAATAAATTGAAAATATTTATTTTTAGAATTATTTATGACATACATGTTGATAACTACGTCAACCGTTATGAGTTAACATTATTTTTCTAAATTAAATAAAAACCAACCAATCACTACATCATATATTTCATAGTTAACTAACATAAAGAAAAATTTATGAAAGAAAAATAGACATTGATAATTTTACAATGTTGTTCAATAAAAATAATAATCTATTAATAGAATAACAAAATACTATATTTCATTGTTGTTAATAGAAAAGAAAAAAATCATGATAAAAATAGAAAAAGTATTTTATAAAATATTGAATATATTGTGAAATTGTTATGTTTTGTAAATTTAAAAATTATTTGTTGCGTAGAAGACGCTCACTAGAATGTTTTTTTTTTCCCCGGAAATTATGTTTTGTCCTTAAGGTTCATTTTTTTTATTAACATGATTAGTTTCCATAGTTCTTTAAAATACAAAAAAGAATATGTCAATCCTGGCAATGACTACACTCAATATAAACGCTGTTTAATGAAAAAATTTTTTACTATAGTCATCAAAATTTTGAAACAACAGGTCCTTTTTATCGAGACAAAAAAAAAGTAAGCTTCTCATTTTAAAATCTTAAGGAGATTACTAATTTTTGTTTTTTTTGAAACGTTATTTATTATGAAAAATGAGGAAATCGATCAAACAACTTTATTTTAGAAACTTGAACACATTAGACTGAATAAATTACTGTCTTACTCTTAGAAATATTCATTATTCAGTTGTTAATACATTTAGGACATGCATTGAATGAATTCAAAATCATTGTTTTATGCTAAGAACAAGTGAAATTTTATTTAATAACAAATTATCTGATATAACACGCAGATGAATTTTTAGATCATCGATTATTTTTTCATGAGTTCTTATGAAACATTATCATCAGAATTAAAAGATTCACTAATTTTTATTAATCCATTCGTCATCATATGCATCATTTCTTGTCTTATTTTGCTTTATGCTAGAAAAAACCGTAGAGATTTCAGTCTTAAAGTTCACTGTTTTCCTTCCGGCTTGATATTATCTACTTAACCCTTTACTCCCCATTGGCAACTGGAATTGTTATTTTTAAAAACATTGCAGAAAACAAAAGGAAGCGTCGGATTCAAAAACAATAAGAATCTTTTTCGTAGTAAACATCATGGACTATCAATTGGTAAAAAGAGTATTTTTTTTCATTGCTCCGTCTTTGAAATATCGGACCATCAAAATCGATAATTTTCAAATAAAATATTCTATATCCATAGACAATAGAGATCTTTTGAAATTTCTGTGCGATACTAATTGATGAAGAAGTTCACTAATGAATAAAATATATTTTAAAAGTTTCACGATAACTTAACGAATTACACATGCTCAAACACACTATTGATCATGTAGCCACTATTGAGCAGATGGAGAACAATCAAGAACAAAGTTAATATATGCATTATAAACTTCAACTCATGACAAGTTGAAATAATATTTATTATGAATTAAATTTCTTCTGAGATCATAAAATGGTTCAGAGCAAAAAAGACTCTCATTTGACGACACATGTAAAAAACGCATGCATTCTTTGGTATTAATTTTTATCGGTTCACAACTGTTTCTCTTCCTATTATTTCTAAAGCACGGGATATATGTTGCTTCTACCCACTCAATAGTATAGTCAAAGAAAAAAACTCAAGTTTCATGATGTTGGTCAATTCTCTTTTTCCACCACATGATCGCTGAATCTATCGAGCCATCCTATCCTAGGAGCAGGACATTCGGTGAATCAGACCATATCATTGGCATATTAGGGAAGCTAATACTTTATTTATAAAATTATTTTATCAGTGGCTCTTCTGGAATCTCTACGGGGAGTAAAGGGTTAAGTTACAAAAATATTGGAATCGGCAGTATTTTCATGAGAGACAATAAAATTTTTCTATAAAGGATTAAATTATCGTTCAAAAATTTCTTTAAACCAAACGACTTTCCGAACATCATGTATTTGATATGGACGATTCCAATTAAAAAACAAAAAAAGTTGTTTTTGTCTATGTCTAGTTGTTTATCTATTCACTTGCATATTCTTCTGAATACATTATTTTATAATGTTGGGGATATATGGAAGCGCGAATATGATTATTTTATTTTTATTTTCATAACTATTCTTTTGTTTGTTTGTTTGTTTGTTTTTTTTTTCATATGAAAGAAATCATATGTCTACATGTTGGTCAAGCTGGTTGTCAAATAGGTCATGCTTGTTGGGAATTATTTTGTCTTGAACATGGTATTCAACCTGATGGAACTTTATTATCATTGAATTGTTCAATAAATAAATCTGATCAATCAATATTAACATTTTTTGAAGATATTGGATATAAATATACACCACGAATGCTTTATATTGATTTAGAAACAACTGTTCTTGATGAAGTACGTACTGGTACATATAGACAATTATTTCATCCTGATAGAATTATATCTGGTAAAGAAGATGCTGCATCAAATTATGCTCGAGGTTATTTTACTATTGGAAAAGAACTTATTAATCATGTACTTGATCAAATACGTCGTATTGCTAATCAATGTCATTCATTACAAGGATTTATTATTTTTCATAGTTTTGGTGGTGGTATATATATATATATATTCGAACATCCTTTTTTTTTGTTTAACATTCATTTTATATCGAATACATATTAGGTACTGGTTCTGGTTTTACATCTCTTCTTATGGAAAATTTAAATATTGATTATTCAAAAAAAACACATATTGAATTTGCTATTTTTCCATCACCAAAATTATCAACTATAATTACTGAACCATATAATACAATATTAAATACTCATATTGGTTTAGAATATGCTGATTGTGTATTTATTGTTGATAATGAAGCTTTATGGGATATTTGTACAAATTTACTTAATATAAAACAAGCAAATTTTATTAATATTAATCGTCTTATATCTCAAGTTATATCAAATATAACAGCTGGTAGTCGTTTTAAAGATGGAAATACAATAGATTTTATTGAATTTCAAACAAATCTTGTACCATTTCCACGTATTCATTTTCCTTTAGTTAGTTATGCACCTATATATTCAATTGAAAAATCTTATCATGAACAAAATGATACACAAACATTAACACAAGATTTATTTCATAGAAATAATCAAATGGTTAAAGTTGAACCATCAAGAGGAAAATATATGTCTATTGCAATTATATATCGAGGTTCAATATCACCAATAGATATTAATCATACAATTAATAAATTAAAAAATGATAGAAAAATTTCATTTGTTGATTGGTGAGTTAATAATATTCTTTAGAAAAACAAAGACTTTAGATCTATCTTATCCATAAAACAAAGAATTTCTATTAAAGAAATAGTGAGTAATGAAATCTGTGAATCCGGACACTTGCTCGTTAAGATAGTTGTTCTCGAATGAAATGATTGCTTAATCGTAAATGAAAGAATTCAGAACAAAATTGACTGTATCGATCGTTTTGGTGGATGTTCAAGACGAACAAAAACATTTCTCATTAATCTGTGGAACATAGTAGCGTTTATGAAAATTATATGCATCGAATAAATATCAACATGGAAGCATGGAATTGAAAATTGAACTGTGCATTTCAATGTAAACATCCTACATTATGGACATTTCTGAATAAATTAATCAAAGAAGAAAATAATATATATTCGGATATCATTAATGCTAGATCTGGTAGTCAGCCATCAAAACGAATCCTTAAACCAACGATTACACAATTTAATTCAAGATCCACATACACACATCAAGGATCAGTTACAATACATCGGACGTTTATTATCTTTGTAGAGTGCCGTGTTTGTTTTCTGTTGTTAGTATTAAAGGATATTGTCATACATCTATTTAATTCGAAGCATTTTTACGAGCAAGTGCTCTAGTTAGTAAGTGTCCTAAACCCGAAATCTGTACCGGTATTGGTTCCATAGGGTGTGAGTGTGAACCGTTAACATCTCCATCCACACCCACAGATCAAAGCATTCAAAAGTAACAGTAAAGAATATAAGCACAGAAATTTGACGAAAATTATTTTTAATGATTGAGTATACTATTTTATGCAGACTTGTTGTGTTAATTCTGAAAATTATGTTCGTTTTTTTCGAAATTGAAGTTCGAACGGTCCAAATCTTAGAATAAAAATTCGTATTTATGACTTTTTTGCTAACATAATCGATTTTTTCAACAATCGGGCAATATTTTTCAAAAATTATACAGACATATTTCAATTTTTATAGGATTTTCTGATTTTTTAAAACCTAATTTTTCTAAGTTTCACATTTTTGATGAGTCAAAAGTTATGAGTTTGTGCTCTTTTCGAATATAGACTTAGAAATTTTAATCAGGAGCTATTGAAAAAAATCTTTATAGCTTCACTTGAATAAAAGCTACAGGTTACATTTTGTAGAAAAGTGTTCACATCACAAAACGACAGATTCCGCAAATTTTTTAGTATGCTCGAAAAGAATACAAAATTCTGGTCATAACTTATCGGAAGTATTTTCTAACAGATCAAAAATGAACAAACATTTTGTCTTAAAAACTTCTTCGGTTGGAGTCGACAATAAATTGTTTTGAAACAATAATATATCTACACTCAGCGAAGACTAATTTATTCTATTTGACTTGCACAATAAAAAAGTATTTGAGTGTGATTCTGGAGTATTTTTCATTAATATTATGATATTTTTCTATAAATCTCATTCGTATTTTAATTATAGGTGTCCTAATGGATTCAAAATTGGTTACAGTAGAGTGTATTTTATAAATTATTTTCTCTCCATTTCTTATATTATTTAGCTACAAATCCACCAATATATGTTCCTGGTGGTGATCTTGCACCAGTTAAATATTCTGCTGTTAGTTTAGCAAATTCAACAGCTTTAGTTGATGCATGGGCTCGAATAAATTATAAATTTGATCTTATGTATTCAAAACGAGCTTTTGTTCATTGGTATATTAGTGAAGGAATGGAAGAAAATGAATTTAATGAAGCTCGAGAAAATTTAGCTGCTCTTGAACAAGGTTTATATTTTTACAGGAACAGACAAAAGAAATATTCTATATTTTTATTAAGATTATATTGAAGCAGGACATGATTCAATACGATTGAATTCATTTCGATCTAGTCTATTAAATCAAGAATGACAAAAAAATATTATATGTAACTATACGAATACCGAACAAGAAATTTTTTTTTTTTTTTTTTTCATATTCTATTTCAATGAAATATATCATCTAACTTTGATAATAATTATGTACGATCAAAATCGTCTGTTTTTTTTATGTATGAAGAAAAAAACAAAGATTCTTTGTTTTTGTCGATATCTTTTCTTTATTGTGTTGTAAATGAGAAGAAAAAATCTAACAAATAACTCATCTATATGATTCATCTAACAACAAAATAGAGATAAATAACAGAAGAAGCAAATATTTGTATTAGAACCTGGTTTATTATAGACTAAGTTTTTGCTTCTTTTTTTGTACTATCAGAATGTCACGTCTCGATCGTTTCAAAATGGTTTTATGAGGTGAATCAGGTGTTGGAAAATCTTCTCTAGCACTTCGATTTACCAAAGGACAATTTCAAGAATTTATTGAAAGTACAATTGGTGCTGCTTTTTTTACACCTACACTTAAAATTGACCAGAATACATCACTTCAAGTTGAACTATGGGATACAGCTGGTCAAGAACGGTAAATTTCTTTTGTTATAAATATAAAAGAATAAAAGTTTGTTTTCTTTTGTTTTTAGATATCATTCTCTTCCACAAATGTATTATCGTGGTCCTCAAGCAGCTCTTGTTGTCTATGATATAACAAATTTTGATTCTTTTCTTGATGCAAAAAAATGGATAAGAGAATTACGTCAAATAAATACGAATGAAATGGTCATTGGTTTAGCAGGAAATAAAGCTGATTTAGTAACAGAAAATAAACGTCAAGTTGATACACGTGAAGTAGTTGAATATGCTGATGAAAATAGACTTATATTTATGGAAATATCAGCTAAACTAGGTGTTAATGTCACAGAAATATTTATAAATATTGCTAAACAAATTGTTGTAAAACAATCAGCTAGTACATTACCTAAATCATCTAAAAAAATTCCACCAACAAAATCAAAAAGTTCTTGTTTCAGTAGTAATACTGACAATAAATCATAATAAATTTTCTTTTCTTTTTTATTTCATCAATGTTATTTCTCACACATATATATATATATACTTAGGGTTATCCAAAAGTAGTGACGGAGGTTCTTTTTTTTCTTATAGAAAGCTTGAAAAAATTTTCTTTTTTTTATGAATAGATAGAGCGTCTTTCACTCTATCTTTCTATGCTATTTGACCACTATTAAACTAATATCATAATAATAAAATTTCGATAAGAGCTATTTTTGTTGAAAACCAGCTGGTAACATTTAGTTCATAATGAGTGTGGTATTTTTGCATTCCATTTTATTATCACATAATATGTTGTATTGAAAAAACGAAATATACCAGAAGATGCAGCGTGAAAAGCTCTATAATTTATAAAGTACCGCTTATTTTATAGTTGTACTTTTTGTTCTAAAAATGGACAAAACTCTGAGTTACCAAGTTTCGACGTGACGAAAACGAGACCTTTTTTTGGTAAAAAAAACGAATTCGGTCTTTTTCTATCTTATCTTTGCAAATTGTAGAGCTCTTCACGCTGCATCTTGCAGTGTATTTTGCTTTTTAAAATAAAACATATCAAGTAATAAAAAGATGAGATAGGAAAAACGGAATTCATCTTTTACCAAAAAAACAATCTTATTTTCGCAACGTTGAAATTTGACAGCTCAGAGTGTTGTACATTTTTAGAACAAAAAGTACAACTATAAAACAAGCGGTACTTTATAAATTATAGAACTTTTCACGCTGCATCTTCTGGTATATTTTGTTTTTTTTTAATACAACATATTATGTGATAATAAAGTGGAATGCAAAAACAGCTCTTATCGAAATTTTATTATTATGATATTAGTTTAATAGTGGTCAAATAGCATAGAAAGATAGAGCGAAAGACGCTCTATCTATTCATAAAAAAAGAAAATTTTTTCAAGCTTTCTATAAGAAAAAAAAGAACCTCCGTCACTACTTTTGGATAACCCTAAGTATATATATAAGAAAGTCTAATTACCTGTTCTTAACACTATAGAACTCTTATGCTTATACATATGAATAATTATTCATCTCTCCATTACCTTAATCTATTTAAAATGAAATCAAGTGGATGAATGAAGAAAATACTCTTCACACAGTGAGATGTGTCTATACCAAAAAAATGACTTATCCTTATTTTAATCTCTGTTGGATTTCACCCACTGGCAAAACAAAACCTAATGGAATCATGAAGATATACTATTTCGTGTGTTAATTGGCCTATAGCCGCTTTATCTTATGATGTTTCTTTTTTTTTTGTTTTAAATCGATCGACAGAGGTGATGACGAACTATAAAACATAAATGTGCGAACGATCAAGTCTGATGAGATTAACCATCACCTTTATTGTTCTTTCATCCTCATATGTGTATGTTTTCAATCGATTGACACATTGCCTCATATTGAGTCCATCTGTTATCTCCCTTGTGTGTGTGTCGAAAGAAGAAAAAAAAAAAAGAAAAATTTTTTTCACATGAAAATTATCATTATAATTAGAAATGTTTTCATGTTCATAATTGTGAAAAAGAAGAAGATAGACAATATCAAATGGATTTTGAACAATCAAAAATTCATGTTATGCATTGACATATTTTTGTTTTTTTATTCGCTTGTTAAAAGATTGACATAAAATTAAATGATGAACAGTAACCTGCTGACGACAATTATAGTCATTGTCGATCAAAAGACATGAGTAAAATGACATCTTTTAAGACGAAAAGAAAAGATGTGTACCGCTCAAGTTGAACATCAACAAAACTACTTGAAATTTTTAATTGAACATCTAATTATTTCACGTCAGGCAAATGAATTTCTCAATGATCAATTGAGAATTTCATTTCTACAGGCGAAAAAACGAAAATAATTTAATCAGAATTTTGAGAATCATAGTTGAGCTTATAACTTCGATCAGTAGGGGAGGAAGCTCTTCAGATGTCAAATTACTTTTTGTTCAGGATGATGTTTTTATGTACACATAGAAAAATATTCAAGTTGGAAGTTGAAAGTCCATTTTTTCACGTGAATTTTTGCTCACCAATTCTTAAAAAAAGAACATTCGATCCTTTCTCTTCTCCTCTATCCTGAAATAGTCTCAAAACACTTCTATCAAAATTTATGGCAATTAAAATAAGCATAAAGAACAAAATATAGAAAATTTATTGGTTGATTATATAATATATATTTGATTGGTTGAATCGATATTGATCTATTGATGATGTAAAGAATGTCTCGTCTTGATTACGTAGAAATTGAACGGACGAACGAGAGAGAGAGAGAGAGAGAGAGAAAGAGAAAATGTGTTTGACCTATATGTATATATATATAAGATTGTTGACTACGTAATATTATGTTCATTCTGACATAACTCACACTTGATCTATTAAACAAAAAAAAAAAAAAAGTGCTTAGATCATCAAATAATAATAATAATGTCATTTATGATTGATAAAATTCTTAGTTCATCATATACAAATCGAAGACCATTTCAATTATTAACAAATATTTCATTAAATAGTAAACAAAAAGAACGTCGTATGTGGAAATGTGAAATATGTGAAAAATCATTTGATCGTCCATCATTATTAACACGACATATTCGTACTCATACAGGTAAAAATAAAAAAAAGATTTTTAAATTAATAAAAAATAATTATGTTTTTTTATTTAGGTGAAAAACCACATGAATGTGATATATGTTCAAAAGCATTTTCAACATCATCATCATTAAATACACATCGTCGTATTCATTCAGGTGAAAAACCACATATTTGTGATATATGTAATAAACGTTTTACTGCATCATCAAATCTTTATTATCATAAATTAACTCATAGCAAAGTAAGAAAAAAGAAAAAAATTTTTTTTTTTTTTTATTATAATAAAAATTTTGCTGTTAAATAGGATAAACCTCATAAATGTTTACAATGTTCAAAAAGTTTTTCAACACCAGGTGATTTACGTTGTCATTCACATATACATAATGGTACATGGCCATATCGTTGTTCAATATGTACAAGAGGTTTTTCAAAACAAACAAATCTTAAAAATCATTTACTTATTCATACTGGTCAAAAACCATTTCAATGTCAATTTTGTTTTAAAAAATTTTCATTATCATGTAATCTTCGTTCACATATTCGTACACATCATAATGAATTTCCATTAGATTTTTCATTATCAGAAAATCAATCTTCTTTGTCAACAATTGTTGATGATCAAAATTCTATAATTGATGTTGAAAATCTTGATTAAATACTTTTTTTTTTCTTATTTCATTTATATATATAAAGCACAATGAACAGTGTTGTTGTTTGTTTTTTTTTTTGTATATATATATAAATATAAATAAATTTGTGTTTTCGATTAAAATAAATTTGATTTCGGAAGTTTGTCTAACATGATGAACGAGACAGATGATTTCAATCAAGATCAAATTTCTCAAAGGAAGGAAGGAAGAAGATTGAACTCATCAAATTCATTTTTAATGACTTTAGTAGACAATGTTGAGAATTGTTTTTTTTTTTTTTTTCTTTATTTTAATTCAAATTATATCATTTGATGTTTGTTTTTTTTTAGTTGTGTTATTCATATTCAAAAAGATGAAATAAACCGCAAACTATACTAAAGGAAATAGGACAAATAATTAGACATGTCAATATATGTATAAAAAAAAAACGCATATGTTTCTTATAGACTAATTTCTTAAATAAATAAGTTCAAAGATATAAACTTCCAATCGTTTCTTTCTTTAATCATAGTCGTGTGATTTTATTCGTACAAAATTCACAATCCTTTGCTAATAGACACAAACACATACACACACATGTAGTTTATTGTTGCATTCGATCGATCTACTGTGAAAAGATAACATTCATAAAATGGTGATTACAGTGTTATTTTTATGTTCATCTTCTATTTTTATAAGATGTAAGAAGATGATTGTGTTTATCTGAATGAGTATGAGAAAACATGCGAAGAAAAAATAGACAAAAACAAAAAAAAAGTTTTTTTTTTTTATGAGATATGATATTTTAAAACAAATACATCTCGTATTTCCTTAATATAGCTATATAAAGATATGTTAATGATAATCGAATGAATGCATGTTATAGAATGTATTTATAAAATTGAGAACAATTTTTTATTGTATTCCTTGTAGAGATGATTTGAAGTGTTATATCCTTTTCGAATTAAGAGAGAGAGAGAGAGAGGAGATGATTCAAATAATCATACTAATAGAAATGAATGTACAATGGATTGAATAATGAACTAATTGTAAATGAAAATCAGCATGCTATCGGAAGGAAATAATGCACGTGCAGAATACCAAAGGACATAACAATTGATACATATATGTTTATCGTCGTCTTTCTAACCATATAATGTACAGGGTGTCCCAAAAGTCATGATCACTTAAGAAATGCGTATAACTCTCTTATTAATAAAGCTTTATCTAGTAAGTTTTTTTTTTCATAAAGACAAAGTTCATAAATATTTTTGAAAAGTATTGTTTTTGATATCAATACAAAAATTTAGACGTTTTATAGTTTCCAAAAAAAGAACTCATGTGGAGTTCCTTTGTTTCAATTTCTTTGGATATTTTAGTCCTTAAATCATCTAAATCTTGTACTGGTATTGTGTAGGCATTTGTTTTACGATATTTCCATAGAAAGAACTCCAATGATGTTGACAGATACGTTCTATGTAAAGATATTGTGAAATGTGTATCAGATCTTTGTTAGTTTCGATTAGTTTGAGTGAAAAGGCAGCTCTTTGAAAGAACCAATAACAATAAATATCACTTATTGGAAAGATAGAGTAAATCACATATTGTTCACAAGCTGTCTATTCCTAGCTAAACAGAATCTTGGGTGGGTATGTAGATCGAAAAAAACGGGCCAAGATCATGAGCTCCACAATCATCAGATTTAACACTATTGAATTGTTTTCTATGGGAATATCTTAAAACAAATGTCTACACA